TGCATATGGAAGAATGGGGGGAGAGTTATCCTAAAAGTTCTCACTGTTCATGTTTTTGGAGAATTCATCAGTTTCCCTGGTAAATGTATGTTGAGCAGAGTTTCCATCATAATGGAACCAAATTCTAGAAATTTCACTGCAAAGAAGGACTAAACATAGCACTCTGGAACTACACATCAAGATAAATGAAATAATGGAAGCCCTAGTGTATAAAATATTAGGTAACTTCAGCAGCATGTAAATTGATTAAATGTCAAGAAAATGGCATCTATAAATATTTCAATTTTCTTTTCTCTCATTTTCATTGCTTCCACTTCTTCCTCATTTGGTTTCATTTTTATTTCCTTGGCTTTTTAATTGTGCTCTTTTTTTTTCCTTTGTCTTCCTTTCTGACCATTGATTCTCTCTTTTAACTTTTCCCATAAAGTGCTTATTAATAACATCCCTTAAGAAAAATAAATCCTCATTCATTTATTTTTATTTATATATCTCAGTATCCTCTTCTCCCACCCATTTAGCATAACTTTTTCTTTTAGATTTTTATTTATCTACTGTTTATTTACTTAAATTTGGGCTAATTTTGATCTTTTTGAGAAAGACATTGAATGACTATATACCACCAGTCTTTGAAGATGTTTTAAGTTGAGGTGACACATCATATGACAGCAACCATATTTAGTGTACAGTTCAGTGGCACTTAGTGCATTCACAGGGTTGTGGTGGTTTTATGTTTGTGAGTTTATAGCTAAGTACGTCTGTGTTTGTGAACAGCTTGGGCAGGAGTGAGAGTATTTGTGTGTGGGACCCAAAGGGGGCGCTCTAGAGAGCATATCCTAGGCCTGGAAAGAACTCTTGGCCTGTGTAATGATTTCAGCTTCTCTACCGGGCCACTCAGCATTTTACCCCTGCTTTTGGTGTGACTGCCGAGTGACCTGGAAATGTAGCCCCTTCTGTCTGTGAGTGTGACGGCAGCATTGCACAAACAGTGGGGATATGTCGGCACTCTCCGCTACAGAAACTAGGTGCCGAGCTCTCCAGGGCAGGCAGCTCAGGAGGGACAAATCTTGCCAAGGTGGTAAAAATCACACCTCAGTCCAGGATTCTTTGTCCTGCCTTACCAGGTGCTTGTAGGGATTTTTTTGGCCCAATGAAACTGTATTTAGGTTCAAATCTTCTTTTGAAAGCTGATTTTATAAAGTAAGCACACACCGTTATCTATTTCTGATATTATATTATTTTTGTTTCTCTTCTTGTCCATACTCAAAGCCTTTCATCATTTTTTAGGGGAGGAAGAAGGGACTCCCTGCTGCGGATGTGCCATGCACCGCTGCAGTCATCACCGTGGCAGAAACAACGCAGACGCATGATCACCGTTCCAAGTTTACGGAAGAGGCCAGTTAATTACATACTACATGCACACAGTCCCTAATGTGGACGTGTGCTGGCTTTCTCCTCTTTGTCCCATTGTCCACGTGGCTTGAAGGCCAGACTTAAGTTCATGGGTAAGTGAGAGGAGCCTACTCTGGTTCACCACAGCCCTGCCGTCAGGGGGGTCCAAAGCTGGAACCCAGTTAGTCCTCTTGATATGTCTCCTGATTTTTATATTTGCTGAATCCATAGCCTTAAAACAGTGACGCTCACGGTGCTGTGTCAGGGTCCTGCTGTATGCAAAGTGGCATAATGGACGTGCCTGTGGGTCATCAGGTCATCCTGTTTACCAGCTGACTCCACGGTTTGGTTACTTCACCTCTTTCTTTTTCATCTGCAAAATAGAAGTAATCAGCCAAAGTTCAGAGTGTTGTTGTGACGATTATTATATTAACAGGTACATAAAGTACTTAGTATAATGCCTGGCACAGAGTGTTCAGCAATAGAGTGTTGATTTATATCAACTTGATTACACATAAATGCAGTTTTGGTTTTTAATTCTTTTCTTAACATTCTTCCTACTCCAGTGAATGTTTGCATTTCGGCTGGGAGCTTGTTTGCTTGCTTTCTTCCCACCATCTGCTACCAAAATGATAGGCAAGATCAAGATTTTCTAAAACCAAACCTGACCATTCAGTGATTCACAGGGAAATTGACTTGGATAAGTTATTTGAAACAATTTTACAAAGAAACAGGTTTTACTTTGACTTTAACACATCACTTTTTAAAAACTATCAAATGTATTTTATTAAAAAAAAACCAAAATTGCTTACACAAATAATGTGTCCCTTAGAAATAATGCAGGCCTGACTACATTACTGAGCAAAAGCAACGTGGCTTTAAACACAAATGACATCCATTTGGATATGTTTCTGCAGATAGGTAGGAAAACACTACCTGTTTTGTTGTTTGCTTGATTTCTTTAAAAATGACATTTCTTGAAGTCCTGGTTATAAAATTTTAAACAGCATAAATGGACCTCCCACTAACCATCACCTTCACATCCATGCTACATATGTGCACATACATTCCTGCTGATATACCTGGAAGAGTGGCTTCATTACAGTTACATCGGAGCCCTTGGCAGACAGGCCTGAAGAAAGGTTATGTGGAATAAGTCGAACATGCAATGTGGGGCAAAGCATGGGTATTCCCTTAAAGAAGAGCTGTCACAACAGAAACACTTCTTGGAAACAATTCATACAACTTTGGAGTGTTAGGTTTTATTAAATGTGATTTGTGTAGTTGTTACATTTATTTGATAAAATCCTAACACAAGGTAGTAAGCAAAAAATGAATTTTGTCAACATACATTTTCAGCAATTCTTGGACACACATATAAAAAGAATGAGAGAGGGAGACTCATACTCTGTTCTAAAACTGCAGATTTACAGACCAGAGAGAGGAAGAGATTCTCTTTTAAAATTGCAAGTATCAATTTAGGTGGGAAGGAGAAAAAGTAAATGAAGGGGAAAGGCAAATACTTCCATGTGGGGAAAACATAGTTTCAATATTTAGATTTAAAATAACCTCCCTAGAGAAAGTGGTTATAATGGATTTTCTAGAAAACTCCCTTGCCTATAAAAATAGACTTGATGACCCACCTCAATCCAAATTTCCACAGTCTACAAGTGTAGGAAGCTCTGAGCTGGAGCAAATCAGTTAGATGGGGAAGGATGGATGGGTCTTGCATTTAGCTGTATTTCTAGTGTGGCTTCTTTAGGTATTGATGAATCTCTAAAAAGCATTGGAATCCTAAGAGTAGACTTACATTGGGATAGAAAAGTAAACATTACTAGATGTATTTTAATCAGGGCTTTTATGACTCATAAATTTTCTAACCATATAATGACAGTACTTTTCATTCCAGTGTAAAATGTGGCAGAACAGAAAGAAATTGATGTACAAATAGATGTAGTGTAACAGAAAATTACAGGTAAGAGAACACAAGACCTAAGACTATGCTACTAGTTTTTAGCCATGAAGCTAAACAAGCTGTTAATTTTGACCATTCTAGAAAAATATTCTTGATTAAAAAAAATCTTCTATTTGTCATTAGGATTTTTTGTCCTTTTTTCACAGTGTAACATCTTATTTACACCTTTAAGCATTGTGCATTTCTTTACCAACTTTAGTTGAGCGTCTTGTTTCAATTAATTTTGGTGCAACTGAAAGCTTCCAGCACAAGGCCTTTAATGGGTTTCTAACATCATTTGATCATTTTCACTACTATCTGTGTGACATTCAATTTCTGAAAGCTCTGTTTTTAATAAATTCCTTGGCACTTTGGACCTTACTCAAAACAATACTACATCTGAATATTTTATGACTGAATATTGCTATCTTTACAATAATGCACTTTCATCTAAAATCCCCATCTTCCTGTGTTAGGCTGTGTGATCTTAAAAATTATTCTAAGTTTTTAGGCTGAAAACTGGAAACTTTCAATTTGTGCAATTGTAGTCTGCTGTTCATCTACAGTTATAATGTGAATAATGTAGAAGCCATTGGAATAATAATGTTTCATGTAGAGCGTGTACTGTCACAGGACTGTCTCCAAGACTTCAGACTCCCATCTGTATATATTAATAATGGGCTACTTCTTTCCTTCTATAAGTGAGCAAATGTGAAAGAAATTTTGTTTTGGGGTCAAAAAACTATTACCGCCTGTTACCATGTTGTATAACTAAGACCTGATCTTCTATACTTTCCCCTTTGTGGGTGAGGACTAATCAGTGTTACACGAGAACATTTCATATCAGAAACGAATTCACTGTCCCTTCCTTGAGAAAGCAGCATTATTAAGTAATGACCTGATGCTATTAAACACTTCATTAAATTCTCCTTGCTGGTCGTAGGAGATGAAGTTTAGCAGCTAGGTATACCTTCTCTTCATGCGACACCTAATTCTTCACATTGGCCCCTGTGGGTTGATCTCACCCAGCAGGGCCACTGGTGTGAGGGGTGGAGAGGTCTCCCACTTCACACTCTCAAAATGAAAGGGCAAGTTACAGAAAATAAATTCAAGATCACTTAGTAATAAAAAGTATAAGAATATTGTTTAAAACATTCAGGATTTCATGGATACATTCCACTGAGGAGGGGTGTGTCTAAGATGTCTACAGGGAGAATCCAGTAGACAAAATAGGTAAATGGGACTGAACATAATCAGAATTCAGAAAAATATTTTTCGTGTGCACCAAAAAACTTTCTCACCAGGAAGACATGAATTCCCTATAATAACTACCAAATTGAGTAGGATTTTGAGTCAAAACATTTCAGTTCGCCCATTTAAGAGCAGAAGTTTGGGTGAAGAAATTATGTTCCAATAAGGCGAACGTCAAGAATGTAATGCCCTTTCTCCTTGACTTCCAGCCGTGCGGCTGGATCCCGCTGTGACCCTCACGTCTGGTTATGCGCACGCAGTTGGATGATGGCTTAGCTGAGATGTTCTAGGAACACTTTAAGTTCAGATGAGTAGGCTCTTCGTATGATCTAAAAGCCACCATTCCAATCCTGAGTTTTCATGATTTGTTGTTTCAACATCTTTATAGTTTGGTTCCCAGAAATTCATGCGCCAAGGAAATAACACCCAGACACGGGTGAGTGAGTTCATTCTGCTGGGACTGTCCAGTGACTGGGGGACTCAGGTTTCCCTCTTTATCCTGATCCTTACCATGTACTTGGTGACTGTTGTGGGAAATTTCCTCATTATTCTTCTGATCAGACTGGACAGCAGGCTTCATACCCCCATGTACTTTTTTCTTAGTGTTTTATCCTTGGTGGACCTTTGTTATGCAAACAGTATTGCCCCACAAATGCTGGCCCACCTGCTGTCAGCCCAGAAGTCCATCCCATTCCACAACTGCGTGTGCCAGCACTATGTGTTCCTGGCATCGGGCGGATCTGAGTTCTTCCTGCTGGGAGCCATGGCCTACGACCGCTATGTGGCGGTGTGCCACCCGCTTCACTACACGGTCATCATGCATGGAGGGCGCTGCCTGGGGCTGGCTGCCGGCTGCTTGGTGGCTGGTTTCACGAATTCACTGATGGAAACAATCATCACCTTCCAGCTTCCCTTGTGCCACAGTGTTATTAATCACTTTGCCTGTGAGACCCTAGCGGTGCTGCGGCTAGCCTGTGTGGACATCTCCTTCAACAAGGTCATGGTGGCCATCTCAGGATTCCTGGTCATCATGCTTCCCTGTTTTCTGGTCCTATTCTCCTATGGCCGTATAGTCGCTGCCATCCTGCACATTCGCTCTGCGCAGGGACGCCGCAAAGCCTTTGGGACCTGTGCCTCCCACCTCGCTGTGGTGTGCATGTGCTTTGGGGCGACCATCTTCACCTACCTGGGGCCGCGCTCAGCCTCCTCAGTGGAGGAGGAGAAGATGGTCGCTGTGTTCTATGCTGTGGTGGCACCTATGCTGAACCCCTTGATCTACAGCTTGAGGAATAAGGAAGTTATGGCTGCTCTCCAGAAAGTTTTAGAGAAATTGAGATGAAGGGTAAAGATGTAAGAACTTCTTGTTATCTGTCATCAAAACCACGAAGGAGATCAGATAAGTGTAGATGGAACTCCCACACTAGACTAAGGAGAGCTATTATGGTGAGGTTTTTGAGTGTTGATAAAGTGTTCCTCCGCCTGATTAATGAATTTCCTTCTATAGGCCAGTACCAGATGATTTATGGCAGTGATCCTCAGGCAGCCTCTTGTTAGATCATCTTCTCTCAGGTATCCAGTGATATTTAGACTTCATCTGCCCATTTAAAAATTGTATTAGTGTTTCCATATACAAAGGAATGATGCATGGCTTTGTCCAGTAGATCTTATTTGTGGAATGAATAGATAGGTGAACTCTGCCACTCAGGTCTGCTTTTACCTTGTGGAACAGAGTGGAGAATGTCTGTTTTTCTTTCTACATGATAATACTCCAATTAATCATAGAAAACTTCATTTCCTTCAGGATAATCACACATAGCTTCTTAAACTCTTTCTGAAATGCTGGCAGTTTTAGAACTTTCAACACTATTTTTTACCTAAATCTAGACTGTAATATGGTATCTTGAAATAAATAACATGTGGTACAATATTTGTTCAGACCAGAAGATTGGATTTCATTTGCTTTTCAAGAATGAAATTTGCTTTTAATATACAAAATATCTGTGGCTTTACTGTTCTTTTTTATTGTTTTGTTTATTGCTTGCTATTTTATTATTTATTTTATTATTTATTATTCATATAATTTTATTAATATTCCTTTTTTATTGTGGTAAAATATATAAAATATGAAATTTGCCATTTTAGTTATTTTTAAGTGTACAGTCCAGCAGCATTAATTACATTTGCAATGTTGTGCAAGTATCACCACTATTTCCAAAATTATTCATCATCATAGTCTTTTATTCAACTAATTTCTCAAGACCGATTTCCTATAAACTGGTTATAGTTTCCACAACCTCTATACTCATTTTTTTTAGTTTAAATAAAAGTATGTATATTTAGCTCTGCTAATTAATTTTCACACATGACACCAACCCACCAAGATTATTTTGTATTTTGAGTCTCTAATTTATTCCATTAGTTTACTTTCTCTTTCTGCTTTATAGATAATAAACTGAAAAGCTTATAAAAAGAAATACCAAATAATAGTACATCAGTTAGAGATCACTGTGAACCTACCTCAACGCTGATTGAAACGTCTATTGAACAGATTTTGTGTATGCTTTTAAACCTTCTTTTAAATAGATTATTCAAACATACTTTAATCATTTTAAAAGGAAGGATATAATAGGAATTTGTCAGCTACCTTTTAGTTTATATTCTACTCTTTGCTGTTGTATATAAGTATGCTAAATTTAAATGATAACAGTTGTTGATGCTCTGAGCTCCATCCAATTATTATCTAGAAATCTCGTCTATTCTTGTACTTCTATGCCCAGATCTTTAGAATCCACAGGGATGTTAATATATAACTTGAAGGTCTGTCGGTTGCACTGCTTCCAAGTCCTCCAGATCCCCTTCAAGGATGGGTGTCAGGCAAAGTAGAATATGACCCCAATGATAAAGATCAGAGCAGAAATAAATAAAATAGACAAGAATAAAACAATAGAAAAAGATCAATGAAACCAGGAGCTGGTTCTTTGAGAAAATAATCAAAATAGACAAACCTGTAGCCAGACTTATCAAGAAAAAAAGAATTTACACACATAAACAGAATCAGAAATGAAGAAGGAATAATCACAATGGATACCACAGAAATATAAAGAATTATTAGAGAATACTATGAAAAACTATATGCCAGTTAATTGGACAACCTACAAGTAATATACAACTTCCTAGAAAAATACAACCTTCCTCGACCGACCCAGGAAAAAACAGAAAATCTGATAAGGGTTTAACATATAGAATATATAAAGAACTCATATGCCTCAACACCTGAAAAACAAATAACCCAATTAAAAAATGGTGTGGGACCTTAACAGACACTTTTCCAAAGAGGAAATACAAATAGCCAACAGGCACATGAAAAGATGCTCCACATCACTAATCATCAGTGAAATGCAAATTAAAACCACAATGAGGCATCACCTCCCACCAGTTATAATGGCCAACTTCCGAAAGACAAGAAACAAGTGCTGGCAAGGATGCAGAGAAAGGGGAGCCCTCCCACACTGTTGGTGGGAGTGTAAATTGGTGTGACCACTGTGAAAAGCATTATGGTGGTTTCTTAAAAAATTAAAACTGAAAATAACATTTGACCCAGGAATTCCACTCCTAGGAATTTACTCATAGAAAACAAAATCCCTGATTCAAAAAGATGTATGCACCCTTTTGTGTATTGCTGCATTATTTGTAGTAGCCAAGATATGGAAGCAACCTAAATAGATGAATGGATAAAGAAGAAGTGGTACATCTACACCGTGGAATATTATTCAGTCACAAAAGAGAAAAATCCTGCCATTTGCAACATCATGAATGGATCTAGAGCATATTATGCTCAGTGAAATAAGCCAGGCAGAGAAAGACAAATACCATATGATTTCACTTATTTTTGGAATATAAAAACAAAGCAGAACAGAAGGAACAAAACAGCAGTAGACTCATAAACACTAAGAAGTGACTAGTGATTACCAAGGAAGAGGGGTTGGAGCAGATGGGGGGTGGAGGAAGGGGAATAAAGGGGCACAATAATTCACAATCACAGTATAGGTTGATCAGAGGGACTGTTGAACCACTGTGATGTACATCTGAAGCCAACATAAGATTGTATATTAATGATACTTTAATTAAAAAAAGAGTATTACCCCAATGCTTATGACTGTAAAATTCCTCTACACTTGTCTTTTAGTAACAAATTCCTTCAGATCTCAGGACTATATTCTTCAAAGCAGAACTGTAAGATCGCCAGTGACTCTAGGTCTTTCTCGGAGACTAGAGCCGTGTGTGTTATTAGAGTGTAGGATGAAGGGACAGAGGTAAGAAAGGAGGGACAGATTGGCGGAGCGAGTAGAGCCTTAAGTGGTTAGTGTGAAATTAGTTTAATCTACGTCAACTATAGTGAAATTGTTTACCAGAGAAAGTGCAAAGACTGTTTGATTATTTGTTTCTGTGGCTATGAACACTCCATAGCAATAAGGAAGTCCCTCCCACATTTTTTGACAGTTAGAGACTGGTCTGTCCCTCCTCTGAAGACATCTAGTGAACAATAAATGCTGCATTAGTTTGCTAGGGCTGCCAGAACAAAATAACATAGGCCAAGTGACTTAAACAACAGAAATGTATTTTCCCACAGTTCTGGACTCTGGAAGTGTAAGATCAAGGCATTGGTTGGGCTGATTTCTTCTGAGGCGTCTCTTTGGCTTACAGATGGTTGCCTTGTGTTTTCACAGGACCGTTCTTCTGGGCCTGTGCGTGTCTGTCCTAATTCCTCCTCTTACAGAGACACCCTTCATATTGCACTAGGGTCCACTCAGATGATCTCATTTTACCTGAAAAATCTTTTTAAAAGGCCCTATCTCCAAATATGGTCACATTCTGAGGTACTGGGGATTAGGACTTCAACATATGGATTTTGACAGGATACAATTCAGGTCATAAAAAATGCTAATCCCACATTCTGAACTATCAGAATATCAGCTCTCACTTAACCAAAGCTACCTATACATTGTGTTGTGAGAAAAAAATTGTTTTAGTATCAACCTACCAACCTATCAATACAGAAAGCAAAGCTGGTATGAAATTTGTTCTCAGTGCACTCCAGTTGTTTCCTAGTGGGCACTAACAACAGGTCACTAAGTGCTCACAAGCAATGCTGGACAATCCATCCTAGAAGTTTGCCATGCCAATATGCCTGTGTTTCCAGATCCATCCTCCTGATAATTTTGAAAATTTAAGCAAAAATACTCTACATTTGTTTGTCTTTAAATTTTCTCTCTGGTTCTTCACAGATTATGAAAGGGGGCTATGAGATAGCACTTGCTAGTTCTAGAATCCTGGGATAAAATTCAGGATCTGGAAGGATGCAATTAATTTTTAATAGCTACTTTGTTTTTGTGTGTGTGTCATAGAAAGAAATCATTTTTCTATGTTGCTTTTCCTTTTATCATATAACAATCATTTCATTTGTTGTTAACTTAACCTTTGGCCTCACCCCTACCTATGTATTAACATCAGATTATCTCCTTTAAAGGTAGGCTTGGTTTTTAAAACACTATCACTAGCTATTCAAATTCTTCACTTTGTCTTTAGCGCTTTAAGTCACACTTTTCTTGAACACTTAGTTCTTCTGTTATTTTTTGCAAGCCATGTTTATCCTTTGCATCCAGCCATGGCCATAAATTCAACCTTTGAAAATCTTTTCTATGATATCTGAAATTGGCTGAAAATAGATTAGTGATTGACTACTGTGGTTGTCCAAGACATGTCTTTCTTTTTTTATTAAATGGTAGAATTAGGATTTTTTTTTTAGCCATTCAGATCTTAGAAGACAATTTCATGCAGAAACACGTTAGAGACCTCAGGCAAAGAGTGTTTTAATAAAAAGCATCTAGATACCCTTCTAGCCTCCATCTAAGAAACCACTAACAGATCCAAAGAAAAACAAAAAATGAGAAAACATTTTCACTTATACTGCAAGTTGGAAATATACCTAACCAAAAATTTTGAATAATTCCTTCCAGAAATTGTCTAGATTGTGCTAAATTGAAGGAAGACATCAAAGCAGACACAAAAATTATTCCTAAAATGGAAGTAGTGTTGTGACAAAATTAGTATAGAGAATTCTAGAAAATTCCATTCGTTTTCTCTAATCATGAGGGAAGAGACTGGACGTGTGGGCAGGCTTTTGGTGAGACTGAGCCCATGGCACTGGGAATCACTTTCGGAACAGATGCAGTATTCTAAGGCCACAACAGAAGGGATGGAAAAGAAACATTTGCTTATCTCATTAATTTAGCTGCCTGATTGCAGCAGGAGTTTACTCAGATGTGAGAAAAAGCCACT